CAATGGTTTCTTAGATAAGCACGAGCAACCAAAAATAAATGAATAAATAAATTCTAGACCCTATCAAAACTAAAAATTCTCTTGTGCTTCAAAAAACACCATCTCTTAAGAAAGTAAAAAGAGGGGCGCCTGGGGGGCCCAGTCAGTGAAGCGTCCACCTTTGGTTCAGGTCAGTGATCCTGGGGTCCTGGGATCGAGCCCCATGTTGGGCTCTCTGCTCAGCGGGGAGCCTGCTTCTCCCTCTGCCCCCCACTTGGGCATGCTCTCCCTCTCTCTAAGTGAGTAAATAAACAAATAAATAAATAAATAAAATCCTTAAAAAAAAAAAAAGGAAAAACACAACTCATGGAGACTAAGAAAATACTTGCAAATTATCTAACAACAGTATAATATTTACACTTAAAAAGGACTTTTAAAATTCAACAGAAAGACAATCCAATTTCTTAGAAAGTCAAAGGACTTGAACAGACCTATTTTTTTTAAAAAGATTTATTTATGGGGTGATGGGCGGCTCAGTTGGAGAAGCGTCTGCCTTCAGCTCAGGTCATGATCCTAGAATCCCAGGATCGAGCCCTGCATCGGGCTCCCTGCTCAGCACGGAGCCTGCTTCTCCCTATGTTCCTCACTCCACTTGTGCGCTCTCTCTCAAATAAATAAATAAAATCTTTTTTAAAAATAGGAATACAAATAAAAAGATTTGTTTTAGAGAGAGAATGCAAGAAAGTGTGCATGTGTGAGTTGGGGGGAAGGGGGCAGAGAAAGAGGGAGGAAGAATCTCGAGCAGACCCCCGCTGGGTGCAGAGCCCGACCCAGGGCTTGACCCCACGACTCTGAGATCACGAACTGAGCTGAAACCAAGAGTCAGACACTTAACCGACTAAAACACGCAGGAGCCCCCAAAATAAAATTCATTAAAGGGCATTCGTTGTGTTGTTGTCTGTAACGGCGGAAGGCTGAAACAGCCTCAGGGCCAATCACCAGGGGACTCGGTTCGTGCCCAGCTTGCTGCCAGAAGGGACAGAGGCAGACGGGAGCCTGGGTGCGAGGGGCTGTGGGCTCGGGGCACCCGCGAGGTTCCAGCAGCCTGAGCAGACCTGCTTCAAGCACGGGGACATGGCAGCAGGTGCCCGAGCCTGGAGCCGCCCAGCGTGGCCTGCAATGGGAACGGGGGCAGAAACACGTCATCGCGCTGGGGGCGGGGAGTGAGCGACAGCACACGCTCCTACTTGGTCTCATGCGTGTCATTTGCCAGAACGTCCCAGCAGCTCACACATGATGCTGGGGTCGGGGCGGGCCCTGGGAGAGGACAAGAGGGCGGGCGCAGGGGAGACACGCTCGGCCACCTGTGCCAGCGCTCTGCAGAGACGAACATCCTGGGCGCCGAGCGCAGCGCAGCAGACAGGAGTCCGGAGCCTCCGCGCCTGAGGCCAGCTCTCCCGACACCCTCCAGGACGGGAACTGGGGTTCGGAGCTTCCAGACAAACCCCACCCGCTGCCCTGAGCTCAGGGGCAAAGCAGTGCCGTACAAGACATGCCAGAAGCCTGAGCGCTGTTCTGGAAGGTTCCTGCGAAGACACAGACGGCGTGAGGCACAGCCGTGAGCCCCCCCGGCTGGCAGGACGTCGCCCGCTGGCAAAGACCAGCCCCACTGCGGCAGGAAGCAGTGCGCTGAGGAGGACAGGATCTGCCCGTCATTCGGCTACTCGGCCGTGACTCTGCAGCAACGCCGTGACACTGTCCCCCAAAAGGCCGCAGGCGGACCGGCAGGGTCCCAGTCCCCACTCTGCCACCGTTCTACCAGACGGTCTGCGGCCTCGGCACCAGCGGGACAGGTTTAGACCCCCCACCTCTGGGATCCGGCGTCCAGGCACCGCAATGGTAGGACTTGGTGCCAGGCCAGGGTCTGGCCAGGGTCCCACCCGGCCCCAGCCGACACGGGCGACACGGCGACGCCTGTGGTGTCCACGCAGCTCCTTCTCCCCCGCTCTGCACCGAGGACAGGGACGCCACTTTCCTTAGCACAGCAGACTGTGTCTCTCTCCCACACGAAACCAGACCTTCACCGTGAGCTCTTCCCCGGGTGGCCAGCGACGGGCTGCGGGACGCCTCCCGCACACGCTCTCTCCTGTCCGCCACTGCCACAGAACCCGGCCCGGAGAGACGACGCTCTGCTGCTGCGGGGATGGGTGCGGGGGCCCTTCGTGAGCACGTGGTCCGCCCCCTGCCGCCCCCACCCACCAGTGTGACTTCGTCCCCGAGCGCCCGTGACCACAGCTGCTGTCACGATGACATCTGACAGGTGCCACAGACAAAACCCCAAAATGAACACTGCTCCCAGGTAGCTGTGACAGGCACCTCAGGGGAGAGCGGGAAGGCAGCCAGTCCGGAGGAACGCCGGGACTCAGAGGAAAAAACCCTGAGACCAGCAAAAGCCAAGACACACAAAATAAACCTATTCCCAAGTTTAAAGTGAGTCATGGCAAAAGCGCTCAGATCAGGGGCGCCTGGGTGGCTCAGTGGGTTGAGCCTCTGCCTTCGGCTCAGGTCATGATCTCAGGGTCCTGGGACCGAGCCCCGCATCGGGCTCTCTGCTCAGCGGGGAGTCTGCTTCCCCTTCTCTCTCTGCTGGCCTCTCTGCCTGCTTGTGATCTCTGTCAAATAAATAAATCTTTAAAAAAAAAAGCTCAGATCACTAAAACAATGAGAGACCACAGAGTTTTAGGAGCAGGTTGCCACGTGGGAGTAACTCAGAGACGAAATCCCGAGCGTCCTGGTCTCAGGAGAGACTCCGCGCCCGCGCAAGGCGACAGGCATCCGCCAGACTGGCCGCAGACTGGGATCGAATCGCTGAGCGGCATGTCTGACCCCAACGCGTCAGCCGCACCCCGGCTAAGACCAGACGCCCCACTGACCTGACAGGACGGCCCTGAAGGAGGCGGCTGCCCGTACATCAGACAGGGGCCGCCAGACAGGCTGGCAGCAGGCATCGCGCTCACGCGGACACGGCCCCTCCGTGCGGCGCCGTCAGCACCGGGAGCGCGGCCGGCCCGGGACACCTTCACTGGGTCACCGTCCACCATGGCCTCCAGGGCACGGCCTGGGCACCACAGAGCGTCGGCAGGAAGGGGTCCGGTCCTGAGCCAGCGCAGACCACCCCGCACGGCCCCCCCCGCTGCCGACAGTCGCCGCCCGAGCCCCACGGACGTCAGCTGCAGAGCGGCCATGTCGCCCGAGTGCTGGGGGCCACCACGGGCCCTGTGAGTGTCTCCTGCGGGAACAAGCAAAGCCCGGGGCTGCCCTTGGTGAGAGCGAGGGTGCACCATCCCAGAGCTCAGGCCACCCCCACGGCAGGAAGGGTGGATGTGACCCCCAGGTACAATGGCCTGTCCCTGGGGCGACGTGGTAAAGGGCAGCAGGAACCCCGCGATACACAGCTCGCGGCAGAGCAGAGTCAGGAAGACACACTGCCGTCACCTGGTGGAAAGGACGGTGGGAGAGCCAACAGAAATTCACGAGTTTTGGGCCAGGTCTGACAAAAACTCTTTTGGAGAAGCGCCAGAGGCTCGCGGATGGGTCAGGAGACCGTAAGTCAGCGGAGTCAGCAGCACGTTCCACAGTGCCTTCACCCGTGCGCGAAGCAGCCCCGCCGAAAAGCGAGCCTGGATCAGCACTGCCCCCACACACCCGCAGAAAAGGCCGGGCAAAGCGCTCCCCAGGAAGGCCGCCTGCACCAGCCGGCACGACCTATCAGCACCAGAGGGGACAGGGTCAGCAGAGCCAGACCCCGTGCAGGCGACCCGCAGTCGCCAGGTCTTGCTTCGGATCCCAAAGTCCACCTGATCAGGGTCACTGACCCTGGTGAGAGCTCCTCGGACAGGGTGGGAAGAGGGGTGAAGGGGGAAACGAGGGACAGTGCCGTGACAGCCAGCCACATCCACATGGAGCCACGAGGCCCGTGCAGCAGAACGGGCCGCCTTCACCAGACGCTGGCGGGAGGCAGACTCCGGCACCCAGGGCGGGCCCGTTCCAGGTGGAGCCCGGCAGTGTGGGGTCGGCACGCAGAGATGGGGGAACTGGAGGGCCGCGCACCGCCCAGCCTGGTTCACACACATCCAGACCAGAAGGAGCTGGTGCCACTTCACGTGGCAGTCGTTTCCAGAAAACACAGACGCAACTCACACAGGAGCTCCGTTTCACGTGCTCTGGGACCATCCCTTGGAACGAAGCCACCGGGGTGCTTGGACACGTGGGAAAGCAGCACGAGCTTGGAGGCCTCTGCGCACCCCTGCGCCAACCACGGCCTCACCCAAGCCACGGCCACCCAGACACGCTCTGGCACGCTCAGTGTCCGGGCCAGGCCAGAGTGGGGGACATGGTATGCTCCCGATGTCAACTCGGGAGGCTGAGCGGGCCCTCGGCCTCACTGTCCCGCCTATGGAACGTGGCAGGCGCCGCTCCCCTCGCAGGCCGCAGGCTCGTGCGACGCCTGCAGCAAGGACGCGCCCCAGCCGACGGGCGTGAGAACGCTCTCCGCTCACCCTGCTCCACAGACCACGGGGGGCTTCTCCCTTTAAAGTGAAGCCCACCTACTTACGAGTAAACGCGCCTCCCGCTGAAAGATCACATTTCTACTCTCGCTCCCGGAGGTGGGGAGACCACCTCGAGCTGTGAGCACCACCGGTCCGTGGGGGAGCCCCACAGAGCCAGGACCGGGTGGCCACATGCCACCACAGAGCCCAGGGGTCCCTGCTCGGGACATCATCTTCTCCCGCTGTGAGACGGGCGTAACGACCACCCTGCGTCTTCTGGGGCGCTTCCCGCGAAGACCCGTGCAACAAATGACCCACAGGACAGCAGCGGCCCCAAACCGCCCGCCACCAGGTGCACCCACGCAGCCCAGCAGTGCTGGCGGGCGCGTCTGGAAGACAGGGCGGCCACCCCCGATGCCTGTGCCCGAAGACAGAGGCCGCGCGGAGAAGCCGGAGGAGCCGCATGGTTACCTGCCTGCCCTTCACCACGTGCTTGGGCACCGGCACCTTGAGCTCCAGGTCGGTGTAGTCCTGTGACCAGGTGTAGTTCTCGCGCACGGCTCCATTGTAGCTGTCGGGGTTTCTCTGGAACTGCTCCTGCCTCCTGCGGAAGAGCGACAGGTGAGATGCGCCCGGCCTCCGCCCCACGCCAGCGGCCCCTGCCGCACACCACCCGCGGGAGTCCCGCAGGCCCCGACCACACGCCGTCTCCGGCTCCCGAGATGCTCCGCCTGAGCGGCACAGGTCCTGACCCTCCTACTCGGGCTTCCCAGGAAACTGTGGGGACAGAGGGACACCGCAGAGAAGCCCCTGAGGGCAGCACCCTAGGGCTGGGGACAGCATCCGCAGCCACAGCCCACAGCACGCCGCACCTGCCGGGCTTCCCGAAGCTCCCCGACCAGGCCCGCCGCTCACCAAAGGGCCGCCGTGACCAGTCCAGGCTCCTGCTTTCGTGCCACCTGCTCAGCAGGGCCTCTCTTCACAGCACAGCACAACCACCTCAGCCCACGGCTGCTCAGCTCCCGCCCTAACCCACCACAGCCCCGGCTTTCTCCTGGGAAAGAGCACGCAGCGAGGGCAACATACCGAGCCACGGGCTGCCCAGAAACCCACCCACTGTGCCCCTGGATCTGCCGGGCCGGCCCAGCGCACGCGCACACGGGCCCGGCCAAGGTGCAACAAAATACAGTACAGCCTGCCGTGAAACCGAACGGCGCTAAGCACGGCAAACACAGCACGTTCACAGTAAGTGTGGACTCACGAGCCCACCACAGCGAGTTTAACGCCCCAGCGAGAGACAGAAGCCCAGTCACAGAGGCGGCCATCCCGACGACCGGCGCGGCTTGGCCACCGTCCCCAGCCCTTCGGAAGGAAGCCCGGCCAGCAGCCCCACGCCCCGCGGAGAGACGCGGCATCGCGAGGGTCTCGGCAGTGCACGTGCGCACACGTGGAAAAGGCTCAGCGCACGCGCCCCGCCAGGCCCTCGCCTCTGCCAGGTGGCGGTTCACAGGGACGCACTTTTTCAGGCCACAGCTGTAGGACGAGAACGTGTTTACCTCCTGTGGGTACGCCTCACACGCCTTATACACGAGCCTGGGCATCCAACACCGCCCAGCCCGTGGGGTTACTAGCTGGCTCCCATTAGGGGCTGAAATGTGACCCCCTCAAATCCGACGCTGTCCTAACTTCCAGCACCTCAGGATGCACCTCACTTCCAAGCGACAATGAGGACAGCGGGGCCCTGAGCCGACCTGTGCCTCACCAGGACACGAAGATGCACACAGAGGGACGACGGCGGGAACGTCAGCCCCGCAGGCCACGGGGCTGAAAGAGACCAGGACGACCCTCCCCAGAGCCTGGAAGGAAGCTCAGGAAGGAGCCGTAGAGAGCAAAGTGGAAGAGGCAGGACAGGTCACGGCCAGGCACGCTGGGCATGGAGGCCACGAGCACTCCGCCTTTCTTCTCCGTACCTTTAGGCCTCACCCAAGCTCCTGGCAACACAGATGTCTGATCGCGAGAAAAACAGCTCTCTTAGACGGCAGGCAGCCGCCCGCCCTGCAGCCCACTACCGGGCAGCTCTCGCATCAGCCTGCCGGCGTCCCCGCAGCTGGAACAGGGCCGAGGAGACGGCACCTGCACCCCAACCCGCTCTAGCGCCCGCTGCGGCTCGAAAGCTCGCATCAGGCAGACGTGCTCGAGTGTGCAGAGAACAGCTCCGGCAGACATCCTCCCCGCGCGGCCTTCCCACACGGCCTTTTCAACTGCGTGTACAAATAATAAAATCACCAGCGCTACTAAAACACATACCGAAGATACACACAAAATAAAGGCTAACGTGGCTTCGTACTTGGCAGAAATCCAGACATAAACCCCAGGACCTCTCAGTGGAGGGCAGGCTCCGTCCCACACCCAGCGCAGAGCCTGCACCGGCTGGGGTCCCCACGACCCCTCAAGAGTAAGGACAGCAGATGCCACCAGAGACGTCACAGGGCCACACCTGCTCAAGCGGGCTCCTGCCAGTGGGGCTGTGCCGAAGGCGTGGACCCAGAGCCGGGCTCCCACACAGGGGCTCTGGCCACGCAGCACTGCAGGCCGGGCAGCTAGGCGGGCCCCTGGCCGGCTCGCCCTGAGCAGACCTGCAGCCTCCTCCCCACGGAGCCGGGCACACGGCTGGGTGCTTTTTTTAACACTTGGAATCCACATTCTCTTTAAATAAAGTTGATTATTTCCAGCCAACGATGTGTAAAAATAAGCCTCCTGTCATGTGCAGGTGCTCTGGGCCCCACTCGCCTTGTCATCCCTACTGGGCCTGTAGCCACACCCCTGCAGCTGCCTCTGAGTACACTGGGGGTGGGGAGAGGGGAGGGGAAGAGTGAGTCAGCAGCCAGGGTGCAGACAGCAGGCAGGCCTCCCCACAGCGCCCACATCCGAGAAGCCCATCAGCCCCATGACAGGCTTCTGACCGGGTGTTAAAGGAAAAATGAGGCCAGGCTCCCTGGCCTGCACAGGTGGGAGCTCTGCTCAGCCCCTCCCTCCACATGGGCTCCGGTGCGTGGAGGCACCTGGGGGCCTCCTTCCTCCCCCAGGAGGGAACAGCAGTGGCCAGGAGGAGACACGGTGGGGAAAGGGGCCGCAGACCCAGCATGAAGGCGTCTGAGCAGAGGCTCGAGCGCGCACAGAGAATGGGGACCGCTGTATGAACGGGGCAGCCGGGGGCCATCCTCACGCCCGTCCCCAGCTTCTGGGAGTGCAGGTGGCTCCCCGGAGTGCACCTAGTGGGAGGGACCGGGACCTGAGCGTGTGCACGTGCACACACGTGGGGGGGGGGGTCATGGGGAGCGTGTGCATGTTTAAGCAGTGAGATCTCTCCCTTCCCCGATAGCTCCATCTCTCCCACCACATCCACCGCCCGGACAGGAGCCACAGCACGTGCGAACCCAGGGATTCTTCTCTGGGTGTCTGCGTTCCACAAGCTGGAAGAGGTGAGCCCACCCTTGCCGGCCACGTCCTCCTGCAAGTGGCCCTGAGACGGGACCACCAGGCTCACCGTGCAGCTTGGAAAGGAAAGGTCGGACTGCAGTGTGTACAGTGACCAACCTGGGGGGCTCCAGGAAGGCCCACCCTGCTCACAGCCTCCCTTCCCAGCAGCACCCGCCCACCCTCCTCCCCCAACCCCTGCAGGTGCCTCTCTAGCCGCCACCTCTTCCCAGCTCCTGGGGCAGCAGAGCCCACAGCGTGGGGTGCCCTACTCCAGGCCCAGCTCCATGAGGTCCAGGAGCCTCCCTGACATCCACTGTCCCCTCTTGCAAGGGTCACCAAGGGCCTCACACTCTGTTGCCATCCTCTTCAGTGCACTCCTGCCTGGAAAGACCGTCTGGCCCAGCCACTTTCACAAGGAAGGGAGGCCTCCTGGCCCTCTAGGGCACTTGGGGAGACACACTGCACATCCTAAGATGCTCGTGCTTTACCCTTTCCCTCTCGACAATCCAGCCTCAGTTCTGTTCTCTCCACCTGGCATCGCCAGGTCAGCATCCAGCACCACTCAGTCTTCCCAGCAGGAGCGGCCTGTGTCCTACCGGGACCAGAGCCCGAGCGAGGACACCACGCAAGACGAGGAGGCCCCGAGAAAGGGACACATGAGCCCCCAAGGGGCTCCTGCTGGCAAAGATGAGACCATTTGAAAATCTAAAGAGAACAATGTCAGGGCGCCTGAGTGCTGTGAGACCGAGCCCCACAGCGGGCTCCGCGCTGGACGTGGAGCCTGCTTAAGGTTCTCTGCTCCCCCGCCAAAAAACAAGGTCCGCAGAAGACTGAAACATGTGATGTCTCCAAAGGTCCATAAGCTCCTAAAACAAAACCCCATCAGCCCCTTGACATCCAGAGTACAGCTCCATTTGAAAATTAATAAAACCGTTCTACAGGGGCCAGAATTTCAGAAAGCCTTGTCCCTCTACAAGGATTCCAGACAGCAAATGAAGAATGCAGACCAGCATGAGAAAGTCACCATTTCGTCGCCTGCACTGGAAACCTGACTCTGCGCAGCCGTGCTCGGGGGCCATCGGCTGAAGGGCTGACGAGGGGGGTAGGGGTCTTCCCAAAGAAGGGTCCAGAGCACGCATGTCCACAATGCCAGACACCAGGCGCTTCCTGCGATGGCCCCACCTTTGTGACAGTCCCCAGCGCCGGGCCTAAAACCCACTACCCCTGGCAGGGTCCGGGGACAGGAGCAGAGAACAAGGTCATCAGAACTGTGAACGCACTCGTGGCCCAGTCCAGAACGCAGGAAATCTAAGAAAAGTTCCAAGTTTCTTTGTTTTTTTTTTTAAGATTTTATTTATTTATCTGATAGACACCGTGAGAGAGGGAACACAAGCAGGGGGTGTGGGAAAGCGAGAAAAGGCTTCCCGCCGCGCAGAGAGCCTCATGTGGGTCTCGATCCCAGGACCCTGAGATCATGACCTGAGCTAAAGGCAGACGCTTAACGACTAAGCCACCCGGACGCCCCAAGCTCCAAGTTTCTTTACAAGCAAACAGCAAGAGATTAAAGAGGGAGGGGAAGTATTCTAAACCCGGAGGCTCAGAAGACGCAGCAAGCGCACAGCACGCTGGGGCTGCCAGAAAGCGCATCTGAGAAGAGCCACTGACGAGGCACCACGCGGCAACGGAAGACTGGACACAGCCTGGGCAGTGGGCGACCATCAGAAGGTCACAGCAAGTACATTAAGCTTCGGGCCTACTTTACTGAAGTCTGGATGGGTGAAGTTTCACGATTTCTGGATTTGTCCTATCAAAACCAAAACCAAAACCAAGTCGGGGCACATAAGGATGGATGAGGTACTGAGAAAGCCAGGTGCGGAAGCAGACGGAAGCTTCGTGGGCACGGACGGTGCGGTTCTCTCTTTTCACGGAATTGTGAAAGTCAGGGGCCGGGTGGGGGGGGTCTATCCTGGCTGTGCACCCAGCGGAGGACCCAGAGACCCGGGCGGTGGGGGAAGCACCCCGCCAAGAGACCTCGCCTGTGGATTTCCAAGGCCGCCCCATGAGACAGCCCCTGCAGTGTGCCTGTGTGGGGTCCCACCGACCCCTGGGGCCTCTGCCCACCGA